TTAGCAGGGTACAAGTCTCCATAGTCCCACAGAGTTTGCCAAACTTTCCACACAGCTGACTGCGTCACTGTTCCCAGGGCATTGCATGGTGCTGTCGGATCGTTACTCCGATAGAGAAAGAACAAGTCAACGTGACAAGCTACTTTTCCAATCTTGTGAACAACTCTCAATTCGTCAGCATCACATCCTTCCCAAGTTTCGTCTTTGATCTCCGAGCCCACCCCAGACTTCACTGCCGTTGCACGATAGTTCTGGCTCGGTAGTCGGGACTGTATCACTTGAGCCATGTTCTTCTGTTTCGGACTCGCATACTCCTCGAATGAATCCCGGCACTCTTCCTTCAACAAAGTCATGTCAGCATCGACATCCCAAGGTATAAAAGTTTTACTGTGACGGTACCAACCTAGTAGAGAACCATCACTAAGAGAAGCATCGATGCCCAGAGCATGCAGAGTATGTGTAGTAGTATTCACAACCTCAGCCATGCACTCGATAAACTCGGCACGGTTTTCCATAGCGAGGATCTCCTCGTGATTCATGCATGGCGTGCCGTTGATAAATACTTCGCTTTTAGGCCAGTCAGACAGGTCAACTTCGTCTTTGAGCGTGGAAGGACATAAGAATATGTTGTCGAGGGCGGCAGTCTTGGGAGTAGCATCAGCCATAACGCGGATGAATGGATGGTGGCCAATACTTGACTTCGACGACCGTATACTTCTTGTGGCGTGCAGAAGGGCGATGGGCAAGAGCAAGTACATTTACAAGAACAACGACAATGTTCGCGTCTCCTGCCCTACACGGGTAATCGATGACTGTCGCGCGGTGCACAATTCCACATGCTGAGTAGCTCTAGCGTGTCGCTCGCCGGAAAACAATCCGACGCTGGGAACATTTTCCATCCGGTAGCGCGTTGTTTGCAAGATTGAATGACGGAACAGCTCGACGGTTTTCGTGGATCCCAGCCCAGATCTCATCTCGACGAAGGGTTCTGTTGTTAGTCTGACGTCACTCACACTGTGTGAGTCACATTTTGATTCCCTCTGTTGTTTATCACGAAACAACGAGGATAAGCAGACACTTGGAATTAACATGAATCCCGAACACCTTCCGTTTGAGCAGGGGAATCATCTGCTCTACGACACAGTTCTGAAAACATCTCAGTGCTTGAGCTCCCGAACCTGATTATCATTTGCAAGGAAGCCATAGCCACCAAATCACTCACTCATTCTGGAGATACGACGCGATCGCAGCGAGCAGGTTCAGACGAGCCAAGACCTTAGTGCTCACCTAAGAGTGCCGAACTCGGATATTGTAGATCAGGGGAATACCTCGACAACTGGCGAATTCCAATTAGCTTTCACCGGATTCCCAGACAGGAAAATAAAAGCACTCAGTGAACGGAGATTGACGGGCAGGCATGGTGATTGTCCACGACAGAAGCGGATGTAGTTATCGGGGCAGGGGGCGACGTCGTCTGTTACTGACAACCTATAACCCCGGAAAATACACACAGGAGGGTTGCCGGCTCGGAAATAAGGCGTATCAGAATGAATCCCAGGCGGGGATCAATAGGTATTCTTACTTTCCGAGTCCTGCTTGGAGCCTTCTAACCCACGATTCCGGGTCGCTAGGGATTCCACCGGACGCTGCTTGTAGAACAGCCGAGAAATGTGATGCATCGTCTAGGATACCTCCTGTTTCGGTGGCGAGAACGTGGTCGAATATCCAGCGTAGATCTTGTGAATCGTATTCATACTTGGAGAAGCCCAGCATATGCAGAGCTTCCTCGAAATGCTCCCAGCTTTTAACGGCCGGTATACCCCTGTCGGTGTGGAGTTTGGTGCCATCTCCGTTGAAGGGGTGAACAGGTTCGATAAAAGTTCTCGACTGGTGTTGTTGGTTGAGGGATTCCAGGTGGGAAGATGCTGTCCAGAACATGAAATATGTCCCACCCATGACCGAGCATATTCTGAAGGCTCTCTCTGGTGAGGGCAGCTTGTCCAAGTGCAGAAGGGTTGGACAACCATTAGTGGCATTTTGGATGATCTCGAAAATAGTGTCCGCTCTCTTTAGATGATCGAGGGCAGGGAGAGTATCTCGAGAAACACAAGGTCTTAGCATAGTGCATGGTTTGTATGCAACGCTTATCGCTGCTGAGGGCAACTATCGGGAGTTCCGTACATCATTGACCCCCTATTCACAGAGCAGCTCCGCGAGGCGGCTACCCGAAGACCTCCCCTCACTCTTGTCATCTAGATGGATGATGTCTACACCAGCCTTCTCCAAGGAAGCTATCTT